TAGGTAGGTAAGTAGGGAGAGAGAGTGTGTGTGTAGGGAGGGAGGGAGGGAGAGGGATAGAGATAGAGAAATAGAGAGAGAGAAATACAGTAGATAGGTAGGGAGAGAGAGAGAGAGAATAGTTAGGTAGGTAGGTAGATAAAGGGATAGACAGAGAAATAGAGAGACAGAGAAATAGAGTAGGTAGGTAAGTAGGGAGAGAGAGTGTGTGTGTAGGGAGGGAGGGAGGGAGAGGGATAGAGATAGAGAAATAGAGATAGAGAGAAATACAGTAGATAGGTAGGTGTTTCTGCTGGCACAGCACTTGATCAATGTAATTTTCACCAATCAGTTAAAGAGCTTTCCAAAAGGAAAAAAAAGTGTTTGCACTCTGCAAACCTCCCAAAAACAGCCCGTTTTTCACGAAAATGGGCCTGTTTTTGTTTTTTTTAAAAGGCATGAATAGCCTTGGAGGGGGGCTTGCAGAGTGCTCCTGGGAGGGGTGCCCCCCCAAAAAATGAGCAGAAAACTGTCCGTTTTTTAAGAAAATGGGTGTTTTATGTCACACAAATTGCATGCATAGCCTTATGGAGGTTTGAAGAGTGCTCCTGGGGACTGGGAGGAGACATAAATGGTCCATTTTTCACTCATTTCCGCCCTCCTGAGCCCCCAGGAGCTCTCTGAAAGCCTCCATAGGCTGCCCTTTGAAGCTGTTTTTGGGTGAAATCCTGATTGAAATCCTGTCAAAACTTTTGTATCTTGTGTATTTACTCTTATTTTGAATTTGTAAACAAATGGCATTAAAATTTTAAATTCAGTATGTGTTCAGATTTTTAGAAAGATAGGTTTAATTTTGTATCATGTAGAGGTTTTGGTTTACTTACAAATTCATTGGAAAACATCATTAGATTAGGAGATTCCAAAAGTTTTACATCTAACTGTGCTATATACTATTTGCATGCACTGCTTATTGTCCCATTTCTCTTGGGTTATCTTTAATCCTTAAAAAGTATATGCCAAGCATTTGAATTATCTGACTATCCCCGACTATGATGGTGTTTTTTTCTAGAATGAAATTCAGTTCTTTTCTATCAGCTTATCCATTCTATAAATTGATTTTAAATTGCATAAAATATGGTTCATGTGCTCTTTCCTCATAATTTCTGTAGGGATGTGAGCTCTAGATTTATTAGTCCTTTCTTAATAAAATATCCTGGAAAAATGAATAAATGATATATGACCTTTTACTTGGCAGTAATAGCAAATTACTGATTGAAACAGATGCTAGTTTTTAGACAGTAACCATGAGCATATGAAAGGAAATTTCAATGGAAGTAGATTTAGTTATATTATGGGATTAATAATTTAGTATTGTTTTACATTTTTATGAACATTAGAAGCAAGCAGACATGAAAATAATAACTTTAAAGATGGGAGAGGAAATTATTAAACTGTATAATACATTTTTTACACTTTTGTAGGTTTTACAAATATCTCAAAAAAAATATTTTTGTTCTCTTTTTTTGGTAGGTGAAAAATTGCTGTGGTTTCAATGTCACCTTGATCCTGACAAAATGGAATACACAAAAAAAGAAGCTTCTGAATTAGTAGAAAAGTAGGTTTATAGCAAGCGGCCTAAGTCTTCTGTGTTTGGAACAAGAATGTTGAGTTGATGTTCATAATTTTAACTGCTTGGTATGTTTTTCAAAATAAAAACACCCTGTTCTATGTAGTTCATTAGAACATCTGTTGGTATAGGCCATCTTTAGTATTTATCCATGCAGTGTAATTTTAACTTCATATATGTTAATTATTATAAGTAATTAGAAACAATCTTCTAATCTATTTTTTTCTGGAATAATATATACCTGTTGTATACTATTTGTATGCAATTATTGAAGACACTTTTAGTCTCAAATATCCTGTTTCTGGATTTTGTAAATAAACAAACTTATTTATTTTAAATATGAGCTGAAATTAAAAAAGCAACTTTAGTTTGAAACATGCACAAAATAGTTTGATAAAATATATACTGTATTTTGTGCTTTTTAAAAATATTTTCCTGGCTAAAGAAAACTATGTTATTCTTTTGTTGTCATATTGCTGTTTAAAATCTGGATAGCTGATGACATTAAGATAGAGAACAACCTTGCCTCTGATATTTAGTTTAATATTAGTGGTTTTGTATATATTCTTTATTCTTTAATAATCAAGATGATTTAATGTTTCTAAATAATTGATAAGTATTGCTTTAAAAAAAACCCCAATGTTCCTAAAATGGCAGTATACTGTGTTTTAGTTATTTGCAGCGATTTCGTGATGAGTTGGAACAGATTGAACTGCACAACAGCATTAAAGGCAGACAGTCCAGACAGCATAGTTCCAGGGAAACCGTAATCAAGCAGACCATGGAACGTGAAAGACAGCAGTATGAAAGCTATGGCATAGGTATGCTGTGTTAAAAAGTAACCTGTTATTAAAATGTGCCCCAAATATAAGAACTCTAAATAAAAGAGCAGTAACATGAGTTCTACCATATTTTTCAGAGTATAAGACGCATCGGATTATAAGACGCACCAAGGTTTTGAAGAGGCAAATTAAAAAAAAAGTTTTTGCACTCTTCAGACCCAAAAAGCCAATTTTTCATGAAAACGGGCCTGATTTTCTTTTTTAAAAGGATGAATAGCCCTTAGGAGGCCAGTAGAGTGCTCCAGGGTTTCCCCCCCCCCCCTCAAAAAGCAAGCAAAAAACAGACCATTTTTTGAAAAAAACGGGCTCATTTTGTCAAAAAAAAGGCATGGATAGCCTTTAGGAAGCTTATAGAGTGCTCCTGGGGGGGGGGGAATTGAGCAAAAAACTGGCTGTTTTTTGCTCATTTCTGCCCTTTCCAGCCCCCCAGGAGCTCTCTGAAAGCCTCCTACAAGCTATGCACGGCCATTTTTGTGAAGGGGCGGAGTTTCATGAGGCAAAAATGCTGTATTCAGTGTATAAGACCCACCCAGATTTTCAGCCTTTTTTTGAGGAAAAAAGGTGCGTCTTATACTCCGAAAAATACGGTACTTCCGAAGTAAATAAAAGTTAATTGTTTTCTCACATCTTATTCATATTTTATTCTCTATGGTGTTGGACTTTACTTGAACTTGACATTCATGTACCAGCATATCAAATCACACACAATACAATACCACACCACACCAAACCAACCAGGAAGGGACTTTGGAGGTCTTCTAGTCCAACCCCTGCCTAGACAGGAAACCCTATACCACTTCAGACAAATGGCTATCCAATATCTTCTTAAAGACTTGCAGTGTTGGGGCATTCACAACTTCTGGAGGCAAGCTGTTCCACTGATTAATTGTTCTAACTGTCAGGAAATTTCTCCTCAGTTCTAAGTTGCTTCTCTCCTTGATTAGTTTCCACTCATTGCTTCTTGTTCTACCATCAGGTGCCTTGGAGAATGGTTTGACTCCTTCTTCTTTATCGCAACCCTTGAGATATTGGAACACTGCTATCATGTCTC